AGGTGCAAATAAATTTGGAGGACTAAATTGAACAAATATGAAATTATAAATATTAAACAACACAAAAGGTTCAAATCGAAATAATTTTAAATTTTGAGGTTGAATTATATAAAAATGTACTAAATTATACTCATTTAAAAAGTTATGGGCCAATTAATAAATAGAAATAGTACTTGAGAAAAAAATTAAAACAACAATATAGATATATATATATATAAACTATATAGTTTATATATAAATTATGTATTATATAAAGTATATATTATATATATAAACTATAGTTTATATATATTAGTATATAAAGTATAAAGTATAATTATATTAGTTTTATTTATGAACTATTGAACTATATAGAACTATATAGTTTATATAGAATTATATATAACTATACAATTTATATTTATATATTATGTATAATTATAAATTATATATTGTATAATATATAGTTTATTAATAAATTATATAGTTTATATATATATGTATATATGGTTTATTTTATATTTATATTTATATTTTATTTTATATTTATTTATATTTATATTTATATTTATATTTATTTTATTTATATTTATATTTATATTTATATTTATTTATATATTTATATTTATATATTATATTTATTATTTATATTTATATTTATATTTATATTTATTTATATTTATATTTATATTTATATTTATTTATATTTATTTATATTTATTTTATATTTATATATTTATATTTATATTTATATTTATATTTATATTTATATTTATATTTATTTTATTTTTTTTTATCTTTATATTTTATATTATATTTATATTTTATTTATATTTATATTTATATTTCTATTTATATTTATATTTATATTATATTTATATTTATATTATATTTATATTTATATTTATATTATATTATTTTATATTTATATATTTATATTTATTTATATTTATATTTATTTATTTATATTTATTTATATTTATATTATATTTATATTTATATTTATATTATATTTATATTTATATTTATATTTATATTTTATATTATATTTATATTTATATTTATATTTATATTTATATTTATATTTATATTTATATTATATTATTTATATATTTTATTTATTTTCTATTTTATATTATATTTATATTTATATTTATATTTATATTTATATTTATATTATTTTATATTTATATATATTTATATTTATATTTATTTTATATTTATATTTATATTTATATTTATATTTTATTTATTTATTTATATTTACTTTTATATTTATATTTATATTTATATTTATATTATATTTATATTTATTTATATTTATATTTATTTATATTATATTTATTTATATTTATATTTATTTTATTTATATTTATATTTATATTTATATTTATTTATATTTATATTTATATTTATATAACTACATACTATAATTTATATGTATATACTATATTTTATACTATTTATATAAACTATAGTTTATATTTATACTATATATATGAACTAGTTTACATATGAACTATAGTTTACATATAAACTATATAGTTTATGTACTAACTATAGTTTACTAAATTATAGTTGATATTACATATGAACTATAGTTTACATATGAACTATATAATAAACTATATATACATATGAACTATATATAGTTTATCAGTAAGCTATATACACTATTTATATAGTATATACTTATATTTATAGTTTATATTTATATATACTATAGTTTATATTTATACTATATATTATATATATAAACCTAAATCATATGAGCTATATACCCCTAAACCCTAAACTATACATTATATAGTTTATTAGTATATATAAACTATATGATATATAGACTATAGATATATATAAACTATACATTATATATTCATTAGTATATATAAACTATATACTATATAGTTCATTAGTATATATAAACTATATAATATATAGTTCATTAATATATATAAACTATATAGTATATATAAACTATATAATATATAGTTCATTAGTATATATAACCTATATAGTATATGGTATATACAAACTATATATTATATAGTTCATTAGCATATATAAACTATATAGTATATATAAACTATATATTAATTTATTAATATAAACATATATATTAATTGAAAGAATTGAAAAATATATAATGATCAAATTGAACAAATTTTAAATATAACCTTAAATTAATAAATTGTAACATTAAATTTGAATTAAATTGAAAAACGTTGAAATATGAAGCTTAAATTAATATATTAAATCATTAAATGTGGACTAAATTAAATAAAGTTAAAACTAAGAGACAAAACTACAATATCAAATGAAATTAAAAAACACGCGGGTTTTCTCCCTCGCTTAAGCCACAAGGCTACGCTAAATAATGTTCCTTTTCTCCAACCAGCAGGCTGTTCCGTTCTTTCTTTCACTTGAGTCTCAGAAAAATTCCCCATCGCTTTTTGTTGCTCTTCTTCTCTTAGCCATGGCTTCCGATTCTTCTCATGCTAACAACGGTTACTCTCTCTTCTACTCTTCAGAACCTTGATTATATTATATATTTGAAGTGTAATTTTTTGGGTTGTTATTATTTTTAAATCTAGATAATTTTTTCAGGTCCTTCCTCTCCTGTCACCTCTTCCCCGGCTCATCGCCGCCGGCGTGGTCTCCGTCAAGCCTCCACTCCTTCCTCTTCCGCCGTAACCCCACCTCCAAATCCTTCTCGTTTTGCCAATTCGGCAACTACCCCAACTCCATCCCGGTCCATTAAAGTGGAGTTGGGAGTTGTAACTACCCCAACGCCATAGCAAGAACTTGGGCTTTCAGTGATGGTGGAGACAGACCACTTCAGTACTCACCTGGCTCCTACAACGAGCTGATGTTCCAGGTTCAAATTAAAACATTTTCAGGTTAAAAAATATGGTCCTTGATCTGTTTCTGATTTCTTTATGCTTTTTTGTTTCCTTGAAGGGATTGGATTTTGTAGTATCTGAAGCTAAGAGGTATGGGATCAAGCTAGTTTTAAGCTTTGCGAATAACTATGATCAATTTGGAGGGAAGAAACAGTATGTGAACTGGGCAAGAAATCAAGGGCAATCCATCGGTCCTGCTGATGATTTCTTTACGAACTCTGTTGTTAAGGAATACTACAAGAACCATATCAATGTCAGTATCTGTTCTCCCCCTTTCCTCACACATCCATTTTTAAAGCCTGCCTTTTGAGTTTTGACAGTTGTAGAAATGACAGGAATAAGATTTTGCATTGAATAATTCATTTATTGCACTAATTTAGACGGAGGTAGATGAACATTTCCGGGTAAAACTGGTAAAAATAGATATGCAATTGATGCAAAGAGCAAGCTTTTTTTAAATCCGTTATTGTTTTTGGCTATTAATTATAGACTGTTCTTATAAGACGAAACACCCTGACTGGAGTGGCTTACAAAGATGAACCAACTATAATGGCGTGGGAGCTTATGAATGAGCCCAGGTGCCTCTCGGATCCATCAGGAAACACCATGCAGGTCAGCTGTATATCATCATCAAGCTGTTTTGCTTCACTGTTACTCTGTTTTGGTTTCAATTTTCAGAAAATTTATTTGTTTTCTAGTTTTTTTTCTCTGTTGAATTTAATGCCAATGGTTCCAGTCGGTGCTTTTTGCGGACTCATGCATGATCCATTATAGCTCATTAACTCTGGTCCATGGGGTATTCCCTTTATATCCATTTATCTCTTTAGTACTATTCTTTTTCATGTATACTGCATCATCCATCCATGCTTCCTCCCTGACTCTGTTGTTTTGCCTTTGAGGCTTGTATACCAATACAAACAACTCCCTTATGTACTTCTTCTGAGTGGGTTAAAACTATTTTTTTATGTTTTTATATATACATGTTTTGCAGTACCATGGTAGCTTTTCGTTAAGACACTGGCTTCAGCAACCCAACTGGCTTCCAACTTTAGAAGGCAACTCTTGCGTTGGATGAAGAGTATGTCAGGAGGGTAGGAGATGTCGAGATGACTCAGTTGGGGGACCAGCAGTTTCTCGTCAGTTGAGGCTTATTAGAATATTGATGAGAGACCTCTTAATTGGAGTATGTTTCTTTTCTTTCATCATAAATTATTGCATCTGACATTTCTCAATGTTTTTCGTAAATTTGTGATTCATGTTTCTCACAGGGTGGAGTTTGTTTTGATATTTACCCTTTTCAGGTAAACTACTTGCATTGCCATGGTATTGCGCATACAGAGTTAAGGCTGGAAAATGTGCATATAAGTCCTGCTGATAGACATATCAAGGTATTTACCAATTTTTTTTCAATGACATTGAGGAGGTTTGTTTGACAATATTTTATATTTATTATGTTTATTTAATAAAATTTTCAAATTGTTTATTAATAAGTCTTTTCTTTTGTAGGGTGCCTTATTGCCTTACAAGGTGCCTTACTGCCTTACAAGATGCAATACTTGGTGTTTGACTCTGCTTTATTCTGTTTTATATTGTTTGCTTCTGTTTTATATTGCTTGCTTCTACTTGATATTTGTAAGGGTTTGGTAAAGTCAAAAATGTTTGGCACTGTTGGCCATCGAATTCCCTTTGGCTTTACCACTGATTGTATGTTTTCTTAATGCAGGATGCTTGCTGAATCGATGCAACGACGCTTGTTGAATTGGTACATTGATGCTTGTTGGTTGCTGCTGTCTATTACTCACTAATGCCTTGTAAATTTTGTTGTTGGTCTAACTTAAATCAATTTTAGAATCTTATAAATTCTTATCTAAATAGTTACTCATGTTTAATTATATCGGTGGCATTTTGGCATTTAAAGTTAGAAAGTTACCCATAATTAAACATGTTGGTAGCATTTAAGTATATGCTCGATGATATTTCTGGTAGTATAGTTGGGCTTTTTATTCTTGTAAACATTAGCTATAAGATCTTAGAGCATTTATTTCAATATACATTTATTCTGTTTAGTTGATTTTATTGTAATTTTAGTGTTTTCAATTGTAATAAAATTACCTTCATTTATAAATATTTATTTAGTATTTGTAATGTTATTCAAATTTTTAATATTTAATAAGTCTATTTCAATTAATATATTTTGATTTTAAAATATCAAGTTAAGTTTACTTAAATTATTATTCAATTTTTACATTAAATGTAAATTAGATTTATGAATATTTTAACTTAGTTAATATAATTTAATAAAATCAAGTTTAATAAGATAATATTTAAATTTAATTTAGTGATTTTAAATAAAATTTATAATATAAGAAATATAAAGAAAATTATGAATTAGAATTAACATAAAAATCAAATTTATAATATACAAATTATAATTAATATAAAACTAAAATTCAAAAAATATATATATTAATTTGATTATCATAATAATTTATGATAAAATTTTAAAAAGTATTCATATTAATTTAAGGGTAAAGTATAGTAATGGTCATTGAACATTTTTGAAGCTTGCATTTAGGTCCCTCAACTTTTAAAACTTGCAATACAGTCCCCCAACATTTATTCCATTTGCAATATGGTCCCCCAACTTAAATCACTGTTAGAAAATTAGGGTAAATTATATAAACGGTCATTGAACTTTTCAGGCACTTGAATTTAGATCCCCAACTTTTAAAACTTGCAAAACAGTCCCCCAATAATTTTATTTTCTTATTAAATATAAATGTATAGAAAATATAAATGATTCAATTTATATTTAAATGTATGAATCGTTTATATTTTGATATATTTATTTTTCTTGTATAAACTAGTATTTAAATATGTTTATATTTTAATCAAATATTTCAATATACGAATAAAAATATATTTATATAAATGTATATTTATATTTAGATGTATAAATAAAAAATATATCATATATAATGTATGAATCATTTATATTTTTGAATATTTTATTTTTAATAAGAAATTAAAATTATTAATTATATTAGAAATACTCAACTTAAGATTATATATAATCATGAATTATAAATATGAAAAATATAATTATTAAATTTAGTTTAAAAATATATAAATCTTAAATCTATTCTTTAAAATATTGTATCAACTAATATTTAAAAAATATATTAAATCTATCAAACAATTTATCAATATAATATTTTTTATTGTAAAAAAATATAATTTTTCCCATCATTTATTGCTTTCAAATTTTTGCCGAAGTTCAAATCTCATTATTTCCATTTTCCATTATATTCTTTTTTTTTTCTGGCATTGGTCATACTATTAGTATATGTATTATTGTATATCTCTTAACACAAACGATGGTGTTAGCTTAGTGGCTCCACCCTGTATCTTTCATTTGCGTGACTCAGGTTTGAGTTTGCCCAAGACCCAAATTTTACTTCTTTGTAACTTAATTTTCTTCTAATTAGGTGGTGACATGTGTCACCAATAACATATATCATGATCATGTGTTAAGACATGTCAGATCCTGGTTAAATGATTAATTTATTAAATTTTATTTAATTTAGGACCAAATTGATAGCATATATAAATAATTAGGTGGTGACATGTGTCACCAATGACACGTGTCATGATCATGTGCTAACACATGTCAGATCCTAATTAAATGATTAATTTATTAAATTCTATTTAATTTAGGACCAAATTGATTATATAAATAATAAAGACTGAATGTATAATAATGTCAATTCCTTTTAACTGCCACTTCATCATTTGTATCAATTGGTAACGACTAGTGGCTTAGTTGAAACAGTTAAATAATTATGTTGTATGATTGATAAATTTAAAAGATCGATGACAAAAGTAAAAAGGGCTAGATAGTTAAGTTGTCAACCTAGTAGTTTACACTTTTATTTATACGTCAAAATAACATTTTATAAATTTAAAATTCGAATTATTTTCAACCTCTTCGATATCCTAACTACTTTTTTTAATTAAAAAATGTCTTCAACAGATAAGAATTATACTATTATATTTATATAAAAAATATGTATCACATGAAATAAGATGAAATTAAATAATAATAAATCTGACATAATTGAATTTAATTGAATTATTTTGGAATTTAGGGTTTAGAATGAAATTGAATTACTTTGGAAATTGGGGTTTAGAATGAAATTGAGGACTGTTTTGCAAGTTTTAAAAGTTGGGGGACCTAAATTCAAGTGTCTGAAAAGTTCAATAACCTTTTATATAATTTACCCTAATTTCTAACGGTGGTTTAAATTGGGGGACCATATTGCAAACGGAATAAATGTTGGGGGACTGTATTGTAAGTTTTAAAAGTTGAGGGACCTAAATGCAAGCTTCAGAAATGTTCAGTGACCATTACTATACTTTACTCTTAAATTATTATGAAATTAAGGGTAAAGTATAGTAATGGTTACTAAACATTTCTGAAGCTTGCATTTAGGTCCCCCAACTTTTAAAACTTGCAATACAGTCCCCAACATTTATTCCATTTGCAATATGGTCCCCCAACTTAAACCACCGTTAGAAATTAGGGTAAATTATATAAAAGGTTATTGAACTTTTCAGACACTTGAATTTAGGTCCCCCAACTTTTAAAACTTGCAAAACAGTCCTCAATTTCATTCTAAACCCCAATTTCCAAAGTAATTCAATTTCATTCTAAACCCTAAATTCCAAAATAATTCAATTAAATTCAATTGTCAGATTTATTATTATTTAATTTCATCTTATTTAATGTGATACGTATTTTTTTATATAAATATAATAGTATAATTCTTATCTGTTGAAGAAATTTTTTAATTAAAAAAAGTAGTTAGGATATAGAAGAGGTTGAAAATAATTCGAATTTTAAATTTATAAAATGTTATTTTGACGTATAAATAAAAGTGTAAACTACTAGGTTGACAACTTAACTATCTAGCCCTTTTTACTTTTGTCATCGATCTTTTAAATTTATCAATCATACAACATAATTATTTAATTGTTTCAACTAAGCCACTAGTCGTTACCAATTGATACAAATGATGAAGTGGCAGTTAAAAGGAATTGACATTATTATACATTCAGTCTTTATTATTTATATAATCAATTTGGTCCTAAATTAAATAGAATTTAATAAATTAATCATTTAATTAGGATCTGACATGTGTTAGCACATGATCATGACATGTGTCATTGGTGACACATGTCACCACCTAATTATTTATATATGCTATCAATTTGGTCCTAAATTAAATAAAATTTAATAAATTAATCATTTAACCAGGATCTGACATGTGTTAACACATGATCATGATATATGTTATTGGTGACACATGTCACCACCTAATTAGAAGAAAATTAAGTAACAAAGAAGTAAAATTTGGGTCTTGGGCAAACTCAAACCTGAGTCACGCATATGAAAGATACAGGGTGGAGCCACTAAGCTAACACCATCGTTTGTGTTAAGAGATATACAATATACATATACTAATAGTATGACCAATGCCAGAAAAAAAGAATATAATGGAAAATGGAAATAATGAGATTTGAACTTCGGCAAAAATTTGAAAGCAATAAATGATGGAAAATATTATATTTTTTTACAATAAAAAATTATATTTGATAAATTGTTTGATAGATTTAATATATTTTTTAAATATTAGTTGATACAATATTTTAAAAGAATAAATTTAAGATTTATATATTTTTAAACTAAATTTAATAATTATATTTTTCATATTTATAATTCATGATTATATATATAATCTTAAGTTGAGTATTTCTAATATAATTAATAATTTTAATTTCTTATTAAAAATAAAATATTCAAAAAATATAAATGATTCATAAATTAATATATGAATATATTTTTTTATCTATACATCTAAATATAAATATAAATTTATATAAATATATTTTTATTCGTATATTGAAATATTTTGATTAAAATATAAACATATTAAAAATACTAGTTTATACAAGAAAAATAAAATATATCAAAAATATAAATGATTCATACATTTAAATATAAATTGAATCATTTATATTTTCTATACATCTATATTTAATAAGAAAATAAAATTATTGGGGGACTATTTTGCAAGTTTTAAATGTTGGGGACCTAAATTCAAGTGCCTGAAAAGTTCAATGACCGTTTATATAATTTACCCTAATTTTCTAATAGTGATTTAAGTTGGGGGACCATATTGCAAACGGAATAAATGTTGGGGGACTGTATTGCAAGTTTTAAAAGTTGGGGGACCTAAATGCAAGCTTCAAAAATGTTTAGTGACCATTACTATACTTTACCAATAATTTAATTATAGTTTATTATAAATTTAAAATAACATAATTATATTAATTGTAACTTCATTTATAAGTTAGGATAATATTAGATCACTTTAATAACATGTCGGATCATTTATAGGTTGAGTCAATTACAGGTTAGATTCATAACAGATTAAGTTGAAAACAAGTCGGTTAATACCAGTTATTTACTAGGTCAATCTCAGGTTCGAGTTTATATCAGTCGGATGCAGTTCAGGTTCATGTATCATATTTTCGGTTCAATTCGGGTTCAGGTCGTTCTCAAATCCACAATTTCCAAATCCAACTCGGGTTCAGATCAACACCAGTTTCGACTCAAATCGATTTCGAATCATCACAGTACAAGGATCAAAAATAATTTACTCGAGTCGATTTCGGTCAGTTTTACAAATCAGGTCAGTGTTTTACACCGCTACTTGACATCTGAGAAAGAATTAGATAAGAAAGCAAGAGTTGAGATAGTGTGTTAGAAAACAATGTCTTCAATGTCTGTACTAACATCACCGCAGTGGCTCACTACTAAATCTTTAAGAACCCAAATCCCTTCAGCTTATCTCAATCTTTTAACCGGTTCAAGAAGGATTTACATCTCTTCCAATGCAACAAACAACACCAAAGCTTGTTCTTCCCTGCTTCACTGTTCATTTATCCCATCTCTCTCTTTACATTCATCATTTTCAGGTAAAATAAAGTTCCCGTTTTTTTGTTTACAGAGTACCTTCCAAGGGTATTATTATTATTTTCGTTTAAATTTCAATTTGTCATGTAGGGATATCTTTGGGGATGGATTTTTAGTTCAAATAATGGACTAAGGAATGGGAGAAGGCGAGGCCTGGTGGTTAGGGCTGGGAAGCCCGCCCTTTGTCAAACAAAGAGGAACAGGTCTCGCAAATCCTTGGCTCGAACCCATGGTTTCCGTAGAAGGATGAAAACCACAAGTGGAAGAGCTATATTGAAACCTCGACGTTCTAAGGGCGGGAAGGTTCTTTTCACCAAATCTAATCTAAACAGTGGGAACCGCTAAAGTATTTCTTTTTGTATCGGTTTGCAGAATTCTATAAATATGATCATTTCTTTCTTTCTTTCTTTCTTTCTTTCTTTCTTTCTTTCTTTCTTCCTTTCTTTTTTTATGATGTCTAAAGGATAATTGAGGCAAAACTTATTCAATGCATCTTTTGTTTGTTCAATTCGACATTATTTGTTTGATAGTTACTTGTATTATCTGATGAATGATTTTTGTTTTTTGAACTTCGCTGAGAATTCTAATTTGATAATTCATTTGTAATATTTATATGCTTTGCTTGCTGCTTACATGCATCTTTTCCAAGCTGTAGACCTAGATATGGAGCTCCTTTTGCTGTCTGTCTCTAATTCGCTAAACATCTTTTCCTATGCTAATAAATGTATGTAAAATGCACAATCTATGCAATCCTTGCAGCTTTGTTGCACATGGATTGGGTACTACTACAATGTAATTAATTTCATTCAACCAATAAAGAGATACTTTATCTGAGTTATTTTCTGTGATTTATTTCATTTGCAACTATACAAATCAATGTCAGTAAAGGAGAAATAAAAATCTCATGTCAAATTAATCACATGCCATTCAGGGGGAATATTTTTAGTATTTCCCCATTTTCTGAATTATTATTAATTTTGTTATACTTTTGTTGGTCATGGAGGCTATTGCCATGATTATATACAGTTATTTTTATATTCTTATTACTGCACAAGCAATGGATTCTTCCATCTAAACTGGGAAATAACCTTCCCATCATTTCCAATAATTATTAATTACTACATAAAACGTTTTAGTAAGGCAAGCTCTTAGAGCTTGTGCAGAGGACCAAGGACTTGAGATTTGAAGAATCACCGACGGCATTGGCTCGCCGGTTGATCATTTCCATGTTCATATGAAGACTTTGTTTCACCAGATTCTTAATCATTTTCTTTCCTTCTTGATCCTCCCTCGGATGTGGCGGAGAACCAGTGGTAGCACTTCCTGTTTGTGGTCCAGAACGAGGCCTCATCTTTGCTTGCCTCTCATCTTTGAACCATTGTAACACTTTCATTGCTCTCTTCTGGGCTAAAGGGCTTCCTAATAAGGACACTTGGAGAAGAACAGGAACAATTCCCGCCTTTGACATTTTATCACTTTGAGTGGTGCTTTGGTGAGCTAAAACCATTAGAGTGTAGGCTGATAATTCTTGACATTTGGGTTTATCCTCCCATGCTAGAATCTCAATCAAGCTCTCTGGCACCATCGAACTCTCTTCCGTGGCCTTTTTTCCCATTAAGGTAAGCACCAAGTGACCTAGTGCTGCAAGGGCTTTCTCTGAAAGTTCTTTGAACAAAGATAGCTTCAAAAGTGTGCTCACAATTCCACTAGACACCAAAAGTCCCGCTTTTTGTAACACAGCAGAGAGGTTACAAACAACACTTAAGCAGGTGTCCTTAGTTTCAATGCTGGAGGCAGACTCTAAAATGCCAATAAGAAACTGGAGGACCTCAGTGTTAGCTAGAGAGAAATGGACATTTGATATCGAAGATAATGATAATAACAGTTGTGCAAATTCATGCCTCGTTTGGTCGTCTACGACATCAATGTCCTTTGACAATTTTGATAATATCCCAGCTTCTAGCATTAGGACCTTGTTTCTGAAGCAGAAAAACAAAGTGATTAGTGCTCCATTATTGCACAAAGTATGAATAAAAATCCCCACAAGTCATAAAAAAATGTGGGAACATGAGCTGAACTAAGTAGTAAAGAAAATAAAACATAAAAAGGTCAGTGAGGATCTGAGATTTAAGTCGAGGGTAGGAACTAGGAAGATGAAGGTCAACAAATACTTATTATTTTTCTTTTTTAATTAATTTGGGAGACAAAGTTGTCCGATTTGTAGCATCATTATTGCCCTTCCAACTCTTATCATCAAGGGAATCCAGTGGACAGTCGACAGCCACCGTACCTTGAGGCGCAGGATTTCAGGATCGTTAAGATCATTTCCTTAATCACAGTATTAATGATGCCAAATCATGTCACGTATCTGTAAAATCATAGAGGAACCCTTTTCCCTATCCTGATGAATTGTACCGTTCCATCGTGCCAAAAACAGAGCTCCATTATTTCAAACTAGGCTGAAAATGTCCAGTTTCGAGCAGCCTTATGAACATCTTTCTTTTCCATTGCAGCATCTTTTTTCTGAAGCAAAATATGTAAACTACAGCTTCAAGGACAAAAAACAGGTGCCCTTTCTCCTTATCAAGTCTCTATACTAATCAGTCATTTATGTTCATGACTGTTAAAATATCGATCAATAAGAATCATCTCAACCAAATACAAACTTCGAGAGCTGGCATGAATTACATCGCATGACTCGAAAGAAATTAACATGAATAGAGTTGAAAATGATACAGGAAACTTACGTAGAAGGGCCTTCAGCAAGCTCGATCAAGGCCTTGATGGCGGCCAGACAGCGGCCAGCTACCTCTGTGGCCACCATGGACACAAGCATCTGTATAACTCCGAGCTCTGCCATCAACTTCCCAGCCTTAACGTCTTCTTTAACGAGTTTTTCAATCGCCTTAGCAGCCATCTCTTTCTCTTCCCAGCTCCCAAAGTGAAGTCTCATGAACGACTTTTTCAACGCCACCGAACTGTCGAGCTCACTTTCAGTTTTCTCTATAGCAACCCGATCTTCATCTTCATTGGTATTGCTTTTAATTCTTAACTTGTTTGAATGATCAGATGATGATGAAGCGCATATTTTCCTTGCTGCTTTGGATTGCAAAAACCTTCGGATTCTAGTAAAGAACTTAAGCTTCATACAAGAAAGTAACCAAATAGAAGATGAAGTAGAAGACATGGACTGAGTTTGAGGTGGGAAGTTCTGAAGAGGGGTTTTAAAGGATCATTGTTTATATAGTACTACAGCTAAAAGTCTAAAACTAAGGATTTGATTTTGCTGGATATGATAAGGGGAGGAGAATATCCAAGGATGAGTAAGAGACAAGAAAGAAAGGGTTCTGTAAGCATAAATCACATGCAAAGCAAAACAAAGTTGTCGTCTCTTTAACCTTCCAGTTCCTAGACCCTGCTCCATTTGTGTTTCTTTTTTCTAGGAAAGTCCCCTCCACGTTTCAAAATAAAAAACCATAGATCTTCGAGCCAATATTAATTTCTTTCTTTAAAACTTAGTCTGGGGTTTGATGCGAGGCATAGGCGATAAGGGAGCAGCAGACTAATATATTATATTTTGTATAAGACTCCTTGCTGAGAAACAGGGTTTGAAATTTAAAAACTTTTAGGTCTCAACTACTACAAAAGAATATTTGATCATCTGTATCAATGAATATGATAATTTCATATGCACAATGCATGGTTGGTTTTGGGATTTCCTTGATCGATTCTCTTAATCACGTATTGTCTCTTTTCCGAACTGACAATTTTAGGAAAATCAAGATAGTGGGTACAACATTCCAATTCAATGCTTACGTAATCTAACCTTAATTAATTAGGCTGTCATTTCTGCTGGACTGCCTTGCCCACAGTTATGGCATCTGTATGTTTTAGGGAATTGATATTATCACTTTGATTTATGTTATTTGAATTTAAAATTAAATATTTGAATTGTTATTATTTTTAAAAATTTGAGTTTAAACATTATAGATATAAAAGGTATAAATATTTAATGTTGAAAGATTAAGAATTTATATTAAAAAAATATTATTTTATACTTATCTTAAATTAATAAAAAATCAAATAAGGTACAGAGTACAGTCAAGAAACACTAAAGTTGACCTCTCCATCGCTTCCTTTTATCTCTGAAACTTTTGGTGAAAATATTTGGCTTATTAATGTCGTAGAAATTATAACGTCATATTCCACTAACAAAATCTTTATCTCTATCTTTTCACCCCATAATCCATTGGCATAGATAGAATAGCATCGATACACATGCCCAACAGTCCAACTGGCTTCGCAGTAGTAATTAGATTTTAACTCGAAAACGTATGGCTGTGATGCTTCTATGAGGTGTACCACAACTCATCTTCAATCCTCAATCTCCCTAACTTCAGATTGTTCTTTACTACAGCATGTTTTATAAGAAAGCCACATCGTTTTTAATTTCTCGATGTGCTATGTGAAAAATGTTAAAAGCATTTGTTTTATAAGAAAGGGCAATGATCATTGTTTATCTAAAACACTTTTTTGTGTTTGTCAGGTAACTTCACTTTTTAGAGTGTGTTTGGTTCATAAAATATAAGATTATATTAGAAATAAGATTACCGAAATGTAACATTACTCTAGAAATATTGTATTTCCTGTTTGGTTTGTTTAGTGGGAATGTAAAATTATCGTATTTGGTTGAAAGAATATAAAATTACTTGAATGTATATTTTATCAAATTATCCTTGTGATATATATATTAATAAGTAAAACTTTAATATTAAATTATAAATATTTAAATAAAAATTTTTAAAAATATTTTAATTATTTCACTATTTAAGTTTAAAGAAAAAATACATTTAACATATAATTAATATAATTAGTATATCAAACTTATAATTTTAAATAATTTTCATAATTATCATATTTATTTATATAAAATATAATATAATAGGAAAAATAATGTTGTGATCTTGAGTGGACAAATATATTATTTTTACTATATAATATCTATTTTTAATAACACAAAATTAAACATTATTTTAAATAATTATATTTTTTACCATACCAATATTTTTCACTTCATAAAATTATAAAATACTTAATATACTAAATATTAAAAATATAAAATAATTTTAGCTACATAAATTTATCAATATTTTACTAAATTAAACTCTTTGTATAAGGATCTATATGAATAAATTTATTAATTCAATGATATTTATGTCTAAAGTGGTGAGAATTGTTCATTATCTATGAATTTGAAGGTGATAACATTCCCACCATTTTAACCCAAAAGCGTTATTATCGATAATAAATTATTACATGATAATAATCTTTTTCATGAACCAAACATGAGAATATAATTTCGAAAAAAAATTATTCTCCTGAATAATTATCTTTTCCGCGAACCAAACTTCCGTTGGAGAAAGCAAAACATATACATTCATCCAAAGAATCATTTTTAATGCTTTAGCTCAGTGCGCTTCAACTACCAATAACTAAGTTTTGAGCAACCAAATCTTCCATTTTTCCCTTGTAAATTATATGCTATTAAATTACCAAATTATCTTTACTTTTTTCTTTTAGAATGACACGAGTTTTGAAGTTTTCTAAAACTTTATAGTTTGTTAGGTTGGGATTCAGTGCATTGTTTTTTTATCTATTACTTTTTTAATACATTGATTATCACCATTCAAATGTGCGAGTCTATTCATAAATTGTGAAAATAGTGATAAAATTAATGCCCGCATCCAACAATGGCATTAGCAAAGGTTAGAAAAGTTTGTTGCATGATTATATCATCCATAACGTACAAACATCGAACAGAACATTGATTATTTTGAATTAAAATCCTATTTTGCTACAATCGTAAAGTGCAAAAGCCACTACCTATAGACCTTTTTGCTAGTCTTTTGAGGTTTCAGAGAACAGGAGACTTTAAAAATTCCAGTCTTATTTGAGCAACTGTTGTTTCTTCTTCTTCTGGTGGCTTCAACTGAAGATTCTCAGGAAGCTACCAAGTATTAATTATTTGCATTTTGGGGTTTCTTGGAAAATACTTTAGTCGAACCTTTGAAGTAAAAAAGATAAGATTCTAGGGGGTGGTGGGTAAAGCATTAGGCTGCCAGGTTCTGCCTTGTCTAGTTGGTCATATTTGCTGCACTCTCTCTCGTGTTTTAGCAAAGAAAATTCTACACTTTTCAGGACCAAATGAAGAAATGGTTGTTGAGTTTTGACCTAAATATGCACCCGAATTCGGTAAGTCATTTCACCGATTTACTCTTATAAAATGTAAAAGTACCTTTTTTATTTGGTACAATATCCTGCTTTGTCTAGTAATCGTAAAGGTCCCGGTTAAATTCGAACTTAAACCAAGTTAAATACAATTTGGAAAATGATTTTTATTTAATTTTTTTATTTACAATGTTTGAATTAAAAACCTTTAATATTAAGCTCGTTGCCACTCAATCCAACAAACATGGGTAATGTAAAGGTAACTTTAGTTAGTAGAGAATGAATGAATTTGACGGGGTGAGGTTTGTCATCAACAAAATTGCTTCCCTCTTTTTCGGTGTTGGTTATAGAATATTTCACTGCACAATCACGGAACAAGAAACCGAAGCAAACAAGCGAAAAACGTGCAGCAGTCATTTTCCGACATATAAAAAAACGCAATATTTGCTTTGTCGTGTTTGATTGCTGAGTCTATCAAGTCACTGCATAATCACGAAAAGAGAGAATGAAGAATACACTTGTGAATGTCTCTCACTCAATCAACCAAGACTCAATAAATTAACTGTTTTGATTTTTTTTATCCGACGACGCCAACATTAATATTGATTGCTTATAGTAGATAACTATTAGTTCTATTGTTTTTTTTATTTTATTCTCTTTTATTTTCTCGAGTCTTTTTAATTTTGAATAAGAATTTCTGTCATTGTGACATGTTTTTCTTTGCTACACTTGTTTTCTCTGCTCTTATGACACAATCATTATGGTTTTTGGTATGTTTTTCGCATACTTCTGCGGTCGTTTTGGTTCTCGCACAAAAATCATCACAATATTTATTTTTTGATTAGTTTGTCGGTAGTCACGTATAATCATATCTCCTCTTTTGATAAAAGATTGTTTGCCAATGTAATCAGAATTGTATAACGAATCAGCCTGCCAAATTGTTTGGTTCGCTCTTTAACACTTCGTAAAGCATCTCACTTGATAGAAACAAGTGGTTTTTATGAATTATATTCAGTTTTGATGGTAGACATCATTCTCAATGGAATATTTTATTTTTTTTTATATCTTTAAGTTTAATATTTCATTTTTATATGAGTATTTTGATGACTATTGTCTTTAAATTTTGATGCTTTGTAATTTTGATTCCTTCAATTATTAATGAAATCCAATTTCAAAATAATGTCTAGGTAAAGTAACCAGCAATAACATTTTTGATCCAATATCAACTTGTGTGTTAACGTTTTCACGCTTCATATTCCTGCCATGTTTTCCAGAAAGATGGGAAATTGAAAATAGACATAAATTTGACATTTACCTGGTTTTTATTATACAATTAACAAGGTATTACAAAAGAATTAACTGCGATGAAAACTGTAAAACTACAACTGGCCTCTTCATAGTTCGACGCATTCCTCATCTGCGGCCTCGATTTCATCATCCCAGTCTAGTTTAAAAGCGTTTGCCGATCTCATCAACTCTGTTAATCCAGTAACATCCTCCAGATAGGTCGGATGGTTAATTGCTTGTAATATGAACTCCATCCCCCTCTTGCGATATTCCGACACAACCTAAAAAACATTGTTCGTAATGATTATAATGTAAAACTACGGCAAAAAACCTATGGAACTTACCTAAATTTATACCAACTCTCAACTAAACCCATAGCTAAATCAAAATTTAAATAAGAATGCTAGAAAATTTAAAATTTATTATTATTAAAGCTTCATTGATGACAATATTTCCTATAGACACGCTGTAACCTTAAACGATAAGTGAGAAAAAAAAGAGGGAAAACGGAAGAAAAAAAGCAAAGAACTGTAATAATAGGATCACTAAGCTTACAGTGCTGCAACATGATGTACAACTGTTTGAGGAGTGGCCCACAAGGGTCATCTGTTGAAAGTGGGGAAGGGAACCTCGAATCTGATGGGGTAAAATACCCAGAGGTAGCTCAAAGTTCCCACCACTATTGGAGTTGGCAATCTCAGCTTCAGCAAATATCCTGCATATACGATTGGGTGTTTAACGAAGCAACATTGACTTCTGATTAGTTCATGATGATTAGAACAAGAGGCTTACTAAATCTCCAAAGAAACTACAGTGATACTTTCTTCATATAGTTCCAAGGATTTACCTATCGGGGTGATGCAATATGCCCACTAAAAGTTCTACTGCCAGTGCAGAAGCAATAGGTGCAAGCCCAGGACGTGTAACAGTACACTGCTGA